ATATGAGTACATTACTGATATGGATTGGCTGTGTCCCCAACCAAATCTCATCTTGAATTGTAGTTCCCATAATTTTCCCATGTTGTGGAAGGGACATACTTGGAGATAATTGAATCACAGGGTCAGTTTCCCCCATACTGCTCTTGTAGCAGTAAGTCTCATGAGATCTGAGGCTCTTATAAGGGGATTCCCATTTTGCTCAGCTCTCATTCTCTTGCCTGCTGCCATGTAAGATGTGCCTTTCCCCTTCCACCATGCTTTTGAGGCCTCCCCAGCCATGTGGAACTGTGAGTCCATTAAGCCCCTTTTTCTTTATAAATTACCCAGTCTCGGGTATATCTTCATCAGTGATGTGAAAACAGACTAACACCAATTACTGTTAACTAAACTAGATTTTATTTGGATTTGGTAGTTTTTCTACTTTAGTTCTTGCCCTGCTCCATGATCCAATCCAGGATACCATATTGCATTTAGTCAGCACTTCGCCTTAGTCTTTTCTGCTCTGGGGTAATTTCTCAGTCTTTTCTTATTTTTCACGGCCTTGGAAATTTTGAGGAGTATGCATTGAATATTTTGTAGAATGTCCTCTAAATTGGGATTTCCTGATGTTTTTCTCATGCTTAGACTGGACTTACGGGTTTGAGGATAAAATATCAAAGTGGTGTCCTTTACTTAACATCATACGAGAGGTACACACTATCAACATAACTTATCATGGGTGATGCTAATTTCATCACCTGGTCAAAAGAGTGTTTGCTGGGTTGAAAGCAAGTCACGAAGTTTAGCACACACTCAAGTGAGTGGGATGAGACTCTACACTTGGGATTTTTCTATGACAAAGATTTGTCTCTTTTCCCCCATTATGCCTTCAGAGTGGCATAAACATAAAATGTAAAATTGGTGGATTTTCTGAGGTTCATACAAATGTAAATTTATTTCAATGTATGGGGATGTAATACACATGACAACTATAGAATAACAGGGGAAGGGCAGTAATTCCTAGAGCAACTGCTAAAACTATATATAAAGTAAAAAAATAAATTTAAATGGATTACTAAAAGATATTCAAATCATAAAAATGAAGGCAGGAAAAAAAGAATAAAGCAACAAAGACACTCTGATGAAGGCGCAGCCAAAGCAAATAAGAAAATGACACATATAAAACCAACTGTCTTAGTCTGTTCAGGCTGTTATAAGCAAATGCCATAAAATGAGGTGGCTTATAAGTAACAAACATTTATTTCTCATAATTTAGAAACTACAGAGTCCAAGATCAAGTCACCAGAAGATCTGGTGTCCCATGAGGATCTCTGTCTTCATCTGGCGGTGGCTGCTGTTTTGTTTTGTTTAGAGACAGGGTCTCACTCTGTGACCAAGGCTGGAGGGCAGGGTCACAATCTTGGCTCACCGCAGCCTGGACCTCCTGGGCTCAAGCAATAATCCTGCCTCAACTTCCTAAGCAGCTAGAACTACAGGCACTTGCCACCATACCCAGCTAATTTTTGTATCTTTTGTAGAGACAGGGTTTTGTCATATTGCCCATGCTGGTCTTGAACTCCTGAGCTCAAGTGATCTGCCCAACTTGGCCTCCCAATGTGGTGAGATTACAGGTGTTGGCCACCACACGCAGCCTCGTTAGTCTATTTAGTGTTGCTGTAACAGAATACCTGAGGCTAGGGTAATATTAAAAAAAAAAGTGGTTGATTTAACTCATGATTCTGGTGGTCAAAAAGTTTAAGATTGGACAGCTGCATCTGGTAAGAAACTCAGGCAGCTTCCTCTAATGGTAGAAAGCAGAAGAGGAGCAGGCATCCACAAAGAGATCACATGGAGAGAGAAGAAGCAAGAGAGAGAAATGGACAACACTCTTTTTACCAATCTGCTCCGTGAGAACAAATCCAGTCCCATGAGAGCAAGAACTCACTCACTCGTGCCAGAGGGTGTTACACTATTCATGAGGGATCCACCCCAAGGACCCAAACACCTTCCACTAGGTCCCACCTCCCAACACCACCACATCGGGCATCAAATCTCAGTATGAGTTTTGGTGGAAACAAACCATATCTAACTCACAGCAACCTGCATCTTCATAGATGGTGCCTTCTATGGCCTCAAGTGGGGGAAAGGGTGAGAATTCTCTCTTGGGCTTCTTTTCTAAGGGCACTAATCCCACTTATGAGGGCTCTGAATTCATGACCTAATTACCTCCCAAAGGCCCTACCTCCCAATACCATCATCTTGAGTGTTAGGATTTCAACTTATGAATTTTGGGCACTCAAGTTACAGCACCAACATTATTGAAGATCACGTTACATGTAAGTGATAACATGCCAATTAAAAGAGACTGTCAGATTGGATTTTTTTAAACTGTCATATGCTGCTCTATTAATATTAGCTGAACTTGAATATTCATTGTAATGTATACACAGCAAAAATGGAATTTTATCTGTGAATGAGGTGAGTTGCCATATAAATTACCTTCTCTCTAGTCATAGAATATTTTTTATTTACACATTCTCTTAATGCATGGCTAGGGCAGCTCTGCTCTACAGCAAATTTGGCCAGACCTACTCAAGCCACTCAAATGGTTCTATAATGTTGACTGCTCAACAGCCATCTGCCCCTCTGCCTTGTTAACAGAGCCCTGATTGTGTTCAGCACCCAGAGAAGAATCACTGGTCTAAGTGAATTGTAAAAATCCTACTTATTTTTGCCAGTCAATAATCTACAGGTGGACATATTACTCAGTTTTGGCCAGTGACATGTAAGAAGTCTCTTGGGGGCATCTAGAATATAAATATATCTTCCTTCTGAGAGAAGAGAGAATTTTTGTTTGTTTGTTTGCAGATCCTCCCTTGCCTTATGTCCCGAACTCTGTTGTTTCAGAGCAGCAGTAATCCCTTCTAGCCTGAAGGGAGTGGAGTATGTCAAGGAGAAAGGTGAGGAGTCTGATGAACCAGCCTAAGAGTCCATACTTTACTACTAATCTTTTCCTCTCGTTAACAAGAAATATTCTTAAAGGCAGAATGTGTGTTGGTCACACATTCTGTTGTTACCTGTAGCCAAAACTATTCTTAAATGAGACCAGAGAGTCTGGTCTTGCCATTACTCTATGCAACATCTGCCATTCTGCCCTTTCATCACTGTTAAGACCATTGTCCTTTCCCCCTCTACCAGCCACTTAATTTGGAGGGAACCACTGCCTCCAGACAGTAAAAGTTTAGTAGGATATGAGGCAGAATACTACTCATTTATTGCAGAGCCAATAATACTACATGGTTGGAATACATCATTCTGTCAGTCAACATTTACCGTGCAGTTACTGGATGCTAAGATCTGTGTTAGGATCTGGAGGTCAAAAAATGAATGAGAACAAGTTCTATGTTTCAAGCGAGTGGGATGGGTAATACACAAATAAACACGTAAGGTCAGGGTGTGTTATTGAAAAAAAAAAGTAGGCAGAGCAAGAGCATATTGGGGAATATACTAGACAAAATGGTCAGAAAATAGCAACTATTTCAGAACTTTATGCAAAGCCTAATTTGTGACTTTTCCCCTTTCTCTGAGAGGTAATAAGAAAATTTTGAACTTATAAAACTTTATAAAAGTTCCGGCCAGGCACGGTGGCTCAAGCCTGTAATCCCAGCACTTTGGGAGGCCGAGGCGGGTGGATCACGAGGTCAACAGATCGAGACCATCCTGGTCAGCATGGTGAAACCCCGTCTCTACTAAAGATACAAAAAATTAGTTGGGCATGGTGGCGCATGCCTGTAATCCCAGCTACTCAGGAGGCTGAGGCAGGAGAATTGCCTGAACCCAGGAGGCGGAGGTTGCGGGGAGCCGAGATCGCGCCATGCACTCCAGCCTGGGTAACAAGAGCGAAACTCCATCTCAAAAAAAAAAAAAAAAAAAAAAAAGTTCCACATTAATAATCTAAACTCAATGAGGGTAGTAGAGCAACCTTTACTCTGAGGTTTTTTTTTTTCTTAAGGAAAATTGTTAAACTTCATTGTGACATTAATCAATACATGATAACAGCTCACAAAAATGGAATGGATAAGGAGACAACTTAAAAGTTAAGAAAGTGATGGCAGGCAAATGACAGCTACGCTAGATGGTAAAAAACAGAACCTAAAAAGAATGGAAGGTTAAAAATGAAAATGAAAAAGGACAAGCCAGAGGAACCGTGGGCGTAGAGAACAAGTCATCAAGGCAGTTGGGAATTTTGTGGATACAATACTGAGGTCACGAAATACTTTCAGGTGGGGCAGAAACTTGAGTGATAGATGTTGTTGAAAAACAATATGATTCATGACCTTATTTAGAGCAGGAAGAATCACAGTTCCAGCTATTCCAAACAGCGATACTGCGGAGCGTAAGAGAATCCTCAGGGGATGTATCAGGTTTAGAAACACAGCCCTCATTTTTCTTATCTGTGGCTCTTACATAGGCTGGGAATTCTGAAACCTGGGAGAGGTGGGGATCGAAAACCTGGAGGTTAGAAGATTCCAGGTCATCCATTAAAGTCTTGATGAGGCAGTCCCACAAGGTCTCAAAAGGAAACATTGCGGGGTTCCATTTCCCAGAGCATCTACTTCCACTCGAGTATCGCAGATGTAATCATAAACACAAGCTGGTTACAGCCACAACTACTTCCTCTAGGGAGAACCCAGTGACTCCTGCAAAGTCCTTACGCTGCGAGAAACCCCGCCCCCGTTCGTAACTATGGGAACCGCTGACACACTGAGAGTCTGAGATACCCTGTTTCGCCCCCTCCCTGACAGATATTGTTTCCCACTGTCTGTCCACATGGGCGCACCGCCTCACTATTGGCCCGAGCCCCAGGACTGCGCCTGACCTCAGCCAGTAAACGGCCTGTACACGTGCACTCCGGAGCCTCCCGATTGGCCAACACTCCCTGATCACGCACGGCCATCCTGCGCCAACCCACGCGTGGGAGCGCCAATGAAATGACTCAGTGGCCATCTACAACGAATCAGCAAGAAGCAGGGCTCGCAGGGGACCTATGGCCGCCCGCCGGAGGTGGGCTATCCCGGCCCCTTTCCAGCCCCAACTGGGTTTGTTAAAGCGATAGGCCCCTTGGCGAGGCTGCGCTCCACCGGGTACCGCACGGCTGCAGTGGCGGCCTCAGCTTGCTGCTGGCGCCTGTGACAGCGGCGCCGCTGTGCTCGCAACCCCGGCTCCAAGCCTCTGTCGACCTCCGGGGCGGGGACGCGTCGCCGGGCGGGATGGGCGGCGAGGCGGGGTGTGCGGCGGCTGTGGGCGGCGAGGGCCGCGTGAAGAGCCTGGGTCTGGTGTTCGAGGACGAACGCAAGGGCTGCTACTCGAGCGGCGAGACGGTGGCCGGGCACGTGCTGCTAGAGGCGACCGAGCCGGTGGCCCTGCGCGCGCTGCGACTGGAGGCCCACGGCCGCGCCACCGCCGCCTGGGGCCCTAGTACCTGTCCCCGCGCCTCGGCCAGTGCCGCGGCCCTGGCTGTCTCTTCCGAGGTGGAGTACCTGAATGTGCGCCTCAGCCTGCGGGAGCCCCCGGCCGGTAAGCGCAGGCAAGCGTTTGGGGTTCCCTCGCAGGCTGCGGGGCCGGGAGGGGCCAGGAGGCCGCGCGCCGGCGGGATGCCCACCTGGCAGGTGAGATCAGAGCGGGCTTCCGGAGGTGGGGTCCAGCCCAGCCTCGCGGGCACTGGGAGACAGCGCGCCCTGGGTGCGCAGCTCTGCCTGGCGCCCTGCCCCTGGCCCTACCGGCCTGACTGGGACCAGTGGCCCCGGATTTTCTAGGACCGCGAGGGGAGGGGGCCATTGGGTACCGTGAGAACCTGTGATTGGACAGTGGGGGATCCGTGGAGCTTGGTCCTGTTCTTGATGGCCCGAGGAAGGGAGGGTGGAACCGGCGGCTGTGGGGTTCCCTTCTGCGGTGCCTGTGTCTTACGGCCTCCACTCCTTCCTATCCTGGACACGATAAATGGTTCATGATGAATTAGCAGAAATTTGGTTTTGGGAAGAGGGAAGTAATTCCTGAGGGGTAGAAATCCAAACGAAGTGTTTCTAGACCTGACCATCATGCTTGGTTTCCGTCTTCTGCGGAGCAGGGCAACTTAAGAGTTGTGCCTCTACCTGATACTGCTACTGTTTCCTCCGCATCCTCTTCTTCCCCATCCTCCTCCTCCCCTCCTCCTCCCTTCCTCTTCCTCTCTCCTACACTTCTCTCCACTCAAAAGGCCTTTAGAAACAAGGGCATCTGGACATGTCTGGATTTCCCTTCCTGCTCACTTTGGTGAAGTCCAGTTCAAGATGTCCACTTTTCCAGAAATACCCATGTGGGCACACACTACATGAGTTTTTCCTTAATATTAGATGCCAAAATTGGATCTATTTAATCAAGAGAATACTAAGAACCATGAGGCTTACCCTTATTTCATGGATGGAAACTATTTTAAACTTTTACCTTTTTTGCCACGAGCTTTTATCTATCAAATAAAATAATGTTACGGACCTCCTGTCCTTGAAGAGTAAACGCATTATACCTAAGCCCGTGCTACGTCTTAGACAAAATATAACAGAATGTGTGGTATTGCCTTATCCTGCGATGGACACAGTGAAGTCCTCAAGGTATGTGATTATCTGGGTGATCCCAAAATTGTAGTAAGGAAAACCGTATTTGGACTCCATACTGCCTTTTTGGATCGATGGGAACTGTGTGTTACTGATAGTTCTTACTCCTTCACGCACAATCCTCGGTATGGCTTTCAGGATCAGCCCAGGCATGCCTCCCCAAGTGGAAGCGGACAACACGATTTTCAAGATGGCTGAATGGAGTGAAGTCCCTTGGGAGAGAGAGACATATTGATTTTTGTCCAGGACTTTGGACTCCATCTCTGGGCCTATAGCTATCAAGTAAATAGATGTAAAATTAAAAGCTGTTGAGCCTGGAATTAGCAGTAAGAAAACTGCTTTGGTAAGATCTGAACTAACAAGTAGTTTTTTTAATTCACACGTCATGTTTCTTCCTTCTGATGGAACAGAATGTAAAAACCTAGACAATCTGAAAATCTTCAGCTTGTTTTAGAATGTATCGTAGCACATATTGACAACAATTATATTTTGCTTAAAATCATAGTCTCTTTTAGTTGAGGGAAAAAATAAATCACCCCTAATATCTATAGCTTGGAAGAAGTTAGCAACTTGACACAGTATAGATTCTGGCTGTGTTTCTATCACCTGAGATTTTTAGAAATCCATATCATGTAGCACTGAGATCTATTTTCACAAATGCTCCCCAGATAACTCTTTGACATCGTTAATCTAATCCAACTACTTGCTATCACTGTGATTGATTTTCTTCATATTTTTATTGAGAAATTGTAGTAGAAAGACAAGACAGAGTCAGAGAGTTGGTTTCAGTTCTTGGTCACCCACCAGCAGTGTGACCTTAGGTAAGTCCCTCACCCCTCCTGAGCCCCAGTCTCTGCCTCTGTAATGGTCTTCTGCATCTCAGGGCTCAGCAAAACCTGTGATTATGGGCTTTGGCTGTAAGACCATTAGCGATGGAAACAATTTTCTGTGACTTCATAGTGCTCAGTATACAAGACAGAAATAATGAGCAGTTGGGGAAGAAGCAGAAATGGGCACATGGTTCAGCTTGTGAACCTTTGACATTAAAAGCAATAAAAACAAAGGTTGAATTCCAAATATTGTAACCCATCTGTATCAGTTTTTCCATCTCTTTTTCCTGTTTATGTTTTGAGATGGTTAAAAGTCTCATTTTAAATGACACAGTTCCTATGTCAATTTGTTTCTTTTTGTTTGTTTCTCTTTGAGACAGTCTTGGCACTGTCGCCCACCCAGGCTGGAGTGCAATGTCGTGATCTTGGCTCATTGCAACCTCCGCCTGCCAGGTTCATGTGATTCTCCTGCCTCAGCCTTCCAAGTAGCTGAAATTACAGGTGCACACCACCACACCTGGCTAATTTTTTGTATTTTTAGTAGAGACATTGTTTCACTATGTTGGCCAGACTGGTCTTGAGCTCCTGACCTCCTGATCCGCCCACCTCAGCCTCCCAAAGTGCTGGAATAACAGTCAATTTGTTTTTTAATGAAAGGGGAACTTCATCTCTCTTTCCTTTGGGCAACTCTGTTCCCCAAACATGCCTGCGATACTCTTCCTCATGCTATTCCCTTCTCTACATTTCCTTTCCTACCTGTCTCCATTCCAGCTCTCAGGTCCTGAAGATGTCAGGGCCACCCATGTTCCTGTGTGGATGCCCTAGGTTCTAGCACTCTGTGGTCATTACTTGTGTACAAGCAGTGATCTTTCCTCCTCCAATCTATTTGAGGATTATCCACAGTGCCAGAAATCTAAGCACTATAAATTTTGAACTCAAATGAAATCTGCATTTTTAAACGTTTGTAAATACTTGGTCATGTTCTGTAATCTATTCAAATCAGAACTTCAGCCGAGCTCTTTGAGGAGCACTAGGATTGCTTTGAGTCTTTCACTCCACAGCTGTCAGGTCCAGATGCCTCCCTGGGCCCTGGTACTGTAGCTGTGCTGTAACCTTCCTGAGCACACCTCAGCCACTGGGGCATGCCCTGCCCCTGTCATTTAACATGATCTCATGCCCCTGTAACTTGTTTTTCACTTTGCCTCCAGTCATTCACCTGTGGAGTATTTGAATGAATTTAAGTGGCAGGTGTGTTATTTTTTTTATCCCCCCCTAATGTTAGCACATTAAAAATCAGGGATAGATTCAAAAGACTTAATGGGTCAATAATATGTTCCTATTTTTCTAAAAGTACAAGGTTGAAATGTCAGCTGACTTAAGATCATAAAATAAAACGTTAATTTAAGGGACAAAACATTCCCATTTCACTACTCATTGCTTTTCTTTAAAAATTTTTTTCGGTGCATGGATACCATAGAAATCTTCATTTTAATGTCAGATGACCAGGCAAATCTCAGAGTTCTATCTCTGTGCTCCCATTTCTTCCTCTTATTTATCCTATCCACAGTAAGGGGATTTAATATTAAATCTGAGCATGGAATGAAAGGAGTGTTTAAGTCTCTCAAGAGAGCCCCCTGACCAACCGTGAAAGCTATGGAGTCTGCTCTGGATCTGAATTAAACGTTGTCTTGGTGCCTTCCTCAGAGGTTTCAGTGGTGCCTCTGGCCTTACACAGTCTCTCCACACCCTGCATTTTGGCCTTCTCACAATCCAATGATGATAAGCTTTTGCATGAAATAAAATGGAGCTGGCAACCCATCGCTGCAAAAAGGTCATTGACCATGCTTGGTAAAGCCCTTTCTGTATGCCAAGTTAGCCACCAAGAAACTCTGGAGAGCTCAAGGATACATACACGACTTACTTAATAACTTGCCTTGTTGGTTTGGCTGTTTTGTGTTATACCCAGTACTAATAATATTCATAAAGTTTTCACTTCCTTTTCCATCTCTGCTCGGAAATACTCAGTGTGATGTTTCAGGTATAGCCAAAATAAAGCTGCCTTTTGCTAAATTAGTTTTTGGTCCAATTTAATGCTGGTATTTCCTATTAGTATAATAGAATGGAGGTAAACAGTTGTGATTTTTACATAAACACATGTGCACATACATATGTATATATACACATATATATGTATGCTGGCATTCTGGGCCTTCCCACTTTAATAATTGGTCTATTTGAGAGTGGAATATATGTGTATATGTATGTGTGTTGTGGTACTTCGCAAAAACTGGCCAGATGCAGTAGCTCATGCCTATAAGCTTAGTGTTTTGGGAGTCCACAGTGGGAGAATTATGTGAGGCCAGGAGTTAGAGACCAGCTTGGGTAATATAGCAAGACCCCATCTCTGCAAAGAATTACTAAAAATTAGTCAAGAATCATGGCACATGCCTGTAGTCCCAACTCCTTGGGAGTTTGAGGCAGGAAAACGGCTTGAGCCCAGGTAGCACTGGTCTGGGTAACAGAACAAGACCCCATCTAAAACACACACACACACACACACACACACACACACACTCAAATTTAATTCTCTAAATTTGTTTAATGAACTCTTGGGAGTATACTGCTATGCTGCATTTTGTAGTCAGAAAAACTTCCTTAAAAATTATTTACATTGTGAAAACTATTGATCTAATACTATCCATTTTCCATTAAAATAAAATATAATCTCTTGTAGGTGAAGGCATCATTTTATTACAGCCTGGAAAACATGAATTTCCATTTCGCTTTCAACTTCCATCTGAGTAAGTGAAACTATATCATTTTGTGGTTGTCTTTCTCTGCAATATGTCCATCCAAATGTGTCAGCACTACGTATCTTCTGATTCTCAAGTATGCATGTTTATACTGTATGTCCCTAAATAGACTTACTCTTTTTTTTCCCCAACTTAAAACATTTTAAACCATGCCTTTTTGGGAACTCATAATTAATGTATTTGGTTTGTTTCAGACCTCTGGTCACCTCATTTACTGGGAAATACGGAAGCATTCAGTACTGTGTGCGGGCAGTGTTGGAACGACCCAAGGTACCTGATCAGAGTGTAAAGCGGGACCTCCAGGTCGTAAGTCATGTTGATGTCAACACACCAGCATTATTAGTAAGTTCTTCCTCTTTCTCTTCCTCTTCCTCCTTACCTCCCTACCTCCTTTCTTTCAATAGTGGGATCTATATTTAGCCCAGTTTACTGATAGTCTGTCCTGTCACTTTCTGATGGCTTGGAAAACACAATCTTGTAACCCAAAGGCATTCACTATAAATATATGATTCTAGGTTGGACAAATTACAAATTGTGTGTGTTAATACTATTGATTATGTTGTCCCTGCTGTTCAGGGCTTCTTTTGCCAAAAAGTTACACAGGCTTGAAATGCATTAATAAGGCTTAATAACAATAATGCACACACAGAGAGTAGTTACTTTTACCAGAGCGGCCACATTTACAGGACTGGGGTATTCTAAACTCCTCAGTAATAGCAGGTTGAGGAACAGTAATTATGGAAGAGCATTAATCATGCCCAGCCTGTTATTGAAGCTCAGGCCATTATGCTATGTATCCTTCCATTCTGCATGTCATTTTCTAACATGAAGTAAGTGCATGCAGCTGCTGCCGAGATCCTTTCACTTATCATTTCCTTATGACAGATTTGGCCACATTAAAGCATTGAACTTCTAATAATCACCAGAAATACTGTAGACTGATAAGAAAGATCAGGCTATAAGTAACAACAGAATAGGCAAGATGGGAGCTAATGAGCTAGATTCTTTTATCTAAACCCATATTATCAAAATAATATAAAATTATACCTTGTACTTTCATGATAGCTACTAGGACCTAATGGTTCTTCATTTAAATATGAATGAATGATTTTTTTTTTACTTCATAGAAAATACTGAGATAATTTAAACTTTCCATCATGATACTGATGTGACAAAGATGTATTTTTCGTGTTGGAGGTTTCTTTTTCTAGCCTGCGTTTTTAAAGACAAGGAAAAAGCTAGCAGTTAAAAGTTGTTGTTGAAGTCTTATTTTCACATGAAAAAGAAATAGAATTTACTTTAATGTTCACCTTGAGATTATGAAAAGATAGCAGATATGTGATTATATGGCCTCTTGTGGTCAGAATCATAAAATAGCTAGCACCCAGCTGGCCTGGATTATAGCTGTGACTTTAACAGCTGCTTTAAAACCAGTTTTGAAAATTAGTGGTGCTAAATAGCTTGTATTTTTAAAAACTACTTAGAATTGAGAGGTTAAATATTCTTAACATTTTTATGACCATTGTGGGAATTGATTTAAAGGGATTTGTCTTTGCCAAAAACAGACACTGTTGCTCCTTCACTGTTCTTTATATAAGAAAAAAAATATTGCTAGTAACTGGGTCTTACAGGAAGCACTGGTGTGTGTAACTTGTAAACTGAATATTGTAAATCTTGTAGTAATTTCTCTTGACACTATAGAATACTATAGTGAGATAGTATGTTTAATAAGCTTTTCAGAACTGTTAACAGTACACATGTTATTGCACCATTATACAAAGCCCCAAAACCATTCCAATTAAGGACACCTGAAATTTCTGCTTGATAATGCATTTTGAAGTAAGTGGGGGAAAAGGCTGTTTGCTTATTCCATTTCTTAAATGCCAAAATAAATATAGTGTTCTGATTATTGATTATTCTATCATTTATCCTTCCACCTGACTTTTATATATATAGCCTTAAAAATAGTTTTGTCATGTTTATAAGTATTAATATAGCTTTTGCCTTTTTAAAAAAAAGATGGTATATTATTTCCTGGAAATATAATGACTTCGGGGTAAAATAAGATGGTGTCATGCTAATTTTTGAATCTGAAAATTCACTAAGTTTTCCTCAAAAGAGAGTCTTAACACCACCTGTGTTTTCGTACACATTTTGCCTAATATATTATATGAGGATAAGAAAGTTTCATTCATTTTTTGGTATCTCTTTATAACCATTCTATGAAGAAAGATAAAATTTTAAGTTCTATGAGTACTCTGGAGTGGTTTAATTAAGGTTGTTTTATTGTTTGAAATTTTCAAGACCCCTGTATTGAAAACTCAAGAGAAAATGGTTGGCTGTTGGTTTTTCACTTCTGGTCCAGTCTCGCTGAGTGCCAAAATTGAAAGAAAGGGATACTGTAATGGTAAGCAAAATGCTTGAAAGTCCAAATGAAAGATTTCATTCATTTTCTTAGCTAATTTTAAGTGATTTTAAATAGTGTTTTTTCTAATTGTATAGTATTTTAAACATGAATAGTGATACATTTTTGATATAAATAATGGATATTTAAATATTTTTAAATGGATGAATAGTTTCCAGTAAAACTCCTGTCTTTTTCTGACTTTGATCCTGTTACTTTAGTAACAGAGTATAACTAGAGGAATGAGAAAATACCAGCATCTGATTTTAATGTTGCAAAAGAATCTCCAGGATTGTATTGCTCAGAAGAGAGCTATTGGAGTATGAAATGCTATTAGACATTCTGATTTCATGTTGGCTTGATATATGCAAATACATGGGACTAGAATGTAGAATATTAACAAACATAACAGTCGGATTGTTACTGGAACTGCCGTTAGTGAAGGGCCCATTTCCAGCAGTGGATTTGGCTCCTGCTCCAGGATTCTGACTTGTCAGAAAGGAATTCGGTATGGAATGGTATGGTGTGGAGCAATAATGTTATAAAACTTGCCTAATCCATCCGTTGATTCTTTTTGTGCCTTAACATTATTAATTCCTTAAAAGCAAAGCCTTTGTTCTCCTGTTGGGCAGATTTTAATTTGATAAGCACTAATGAGTTTGTTAGTGATCTTTTATACTTAACATAGTCCTGAATCATTTATTTGTATGTCTTATTCTAATTTATATAGACACTGGTCATTTACATATCTTTAGAATTGCTAATGTAATATTGCTACATTAGAAAAGTCAATAATGCAATAATTAGAAAATAAGATCTACACAACCTGCAGTGAATTTTTATTTCTCTGGCTTGAATTTACAATATGTTTTCCATCTGAATTTGTTAAAGTGATGTTGGAACATTTCGGCTATATGGTCCTAATCCATTATGGTGAGAACTTTTTGAAGAGTCTCTGAATTCTCCCTGTTTTGTTTTTTTTTTTTTTTTTTAGGAGAAGCTATTCCAATCTATGCAGAAATAGAGAATTGTTCCTCTCGTCTGATTGTTCCAAAGGCTGCTATTTTCCAAACCCAGACATACTTGGCTAGTGGAAAAACAAAGACCATCCGACACATGGTCGCCAATGTGCGGGGAAACCACATCGCTTCTGGGAGCACGGACACATGGAATGGGAAGACTCTAAAAATTCCACCTGTTACTCCATCCATCCTGGATTGCTGCATTATCAGAGTGGACTATTCCTTAGCTGTAAGCAAAGCTCTTTAAAAAAATATATGTATGATGGACCCTAACTGGTACCATGTTACTGTGCATATGTAGAGTTGCCTATAAAAATTTCATTTTATTTCAGCATTAACACCAGTTGGGGACTATATGAAGATTGGTCCCTGTTTTTAGTAAAAAAAAAACTGTTCCCCACGGGGGAGTTAATAAAATACCCTAAGAGAACTGAGGTACATTAAGGGATGTTTGCTATATTGAAAACATATCCTTGATTTTCTATATTTATTATGTAAGCCATGTGAACCTACAACGATGCATGTTAAGGACACAGTGCTCTGTCTCAGAGCATTCACTATGTTTTGTGTCCTCTTCATCTGGTTTAATCAAGGTAATTGAAAATTGTGATGGGGGTGGTGGCAGGTGACAAAAGCATTTGTTTTTATGATAAAAGAAATAAATTGGGCTATCTACTGGAGGTGTAACTTCTATTTGTTCCTTTCTCTCTTTTATTTTTGGCATATTAGGTGTACATTCATATTCCTGGTGCTAAAAAATTGATGCTGGAACTGCCATTAGTGATTGGTACAATTCCATATAATGGTTTTGGCAGCAGAAACTCCAGCGTTGCCAGTCAGTTCAGTATGGATATGAGCTGGTTGACACTGACCCTGCCAGAACAGCCTGAAGGTAAAATATTTTGGCATTCTTTCATAATGAAGTTCTACCTAGAAAATACCTAAGAACAGGATATATAAAGCTATTAAGTGCTCTGATGTTAATTAGTACTGCTACTGCAGTTGTCTTTATTGCTACTACTAAAAAATCATAAAACATTATTTCTGGGAAGGACTTTGCAAGTTTAACTTTATGTAGGATGCAGAGCTGCTGATGGCAGATTCAGGAATAAGATGTACATTTCCTAATTCCTGTTTGTAATAGAAAAACAATGAAAAACAGTCAAAAGTATGATGTGTTATATATTTTCTGTAGTCATTTTCAGTGATACTTGGTTACCTAGACTCAAGAGACATATCTCTCAAGAGACTCTTATATAGTCAATATTAGTAGTGGTTTAATAAAAGCAGAATCTATTTTTTATTGTAATATGCATAAAACCTTGCTGATCAGAGGGAAAGAATGCCGTATTTTTATCTTCAAATTTAGCTGTTTCTTGTTTTTATAAGAGCTAAAAATTGAGATTAATTTTTACGTGGATTTCTTAACTTCAACTTCGTTTCTGTTTCAGCACCACCAAATTATGCAGATGTGGTATCAGAGGAAGAATTCTCTAGACACATTCCTCCTTACCCTCAACCCCCTAACTGTGAGGGAGAAGTGTGCTGTCCTATGTTTGCCTGCATACAAGAATTCCGATTTCAACCCCCACCTCTTTATTCGGAGGTAAGCAAAGCAACAGAAAATTCTACTTTTATTGTATTACTTTTAAATAATCATTTTTTGTTACCCATTTATTACAGTGTCTTGATGACTCATAATTAGTAGGGGATACATATAAATCTGTTTTTACAGTGGTAATAGATTATTACTGATGCATTTGTCAATTTTTTTACTGTTTCCTTGTGATCTCTGGCATCATATACAGTATTGTGGATTGCCTTTAATTATGTTATTTGGCCATGGAATATAGAGAACGTTGCCTACTGGGACTTACTAATAATAGGCTTTGACCAACGTGGCATATAACTATTATATAATTAGAAATAGATACTAGAATCATTTTAAAGAATGCTACAACACTGATCTCTTTTTTGCAGGTTGATCCACACCCTAACGATGTAGAAGAGACCCAGCCTGTTTCCTTCATTCTCTGAACATATTTCAGAAATCACTGTGTTCATCATCAAATTAGAATGTTGATTCTTTTCCTTCTGCCTTTTTGGGAAAGAGAGAGGAAAGATTAACTTAAGAACATAAATGAACATCAAGACTGAAGGCAATAGAAATCAAAGAATGTGAGAAATTTCTAGTGGGCCGACAGGATTGCTGCACAAGTTTATATGATGGTCTGTATCCCTGTTAAAAAGACAGGATGAAGATGTGCAAAGTCTCAGAATGTAATGCAAGTCCTGATGGTTATACAGTAAGTGAAAGGGTGCCTGTGCTGACCAGAGAAGGGAATCTGTAAACAGTGGAAACACTGTGGGAATTTCCCGTGGTGTTTTAGAGTGGAATGAAGGCGATATGAACTGAAGGAGTAAAGACTTGATTTTGGAGAAGGTAACAAAACACGGGTGTGCATGAATAGAAAAATGGCCCACTCCAAATACGAAGTGAGACCCTGACGTTTTCAGGTCTTTCTTCATGATTTCTTACCGTGTTCAGGCCTAAAGTCATTGAAAGTATCTTTTCCTGAGATCATGGTCATATGAGGTCCTAACGAAGATGTACAATTTTCATTCTTTCAATGGTAGACTAAAATGCAGTTTATAAATTGGCAGCACAGTATTATGAAACCAAGGAAGGGTTTCTTGAAAAGCTTGTCAGTTCAGAGGGGAAAGATGAATTTCAGTGTGAAGACACGTTTTGTGGAAGGCTGTACTTTTTACCCCCTTTAAGTACTTTAACAGGGTATATGTTTAATTTTTTTCCTATCTTATTCACCTAGGAGCATGTCAGAGAAAGAAGGGAGAGGAAAAAGTTGCATCAGCAGGATGCCTTCATAACTACACAGTCCAAAAGAAAAGGCCTTTTTCTAACCTACCTCTACTGGGGTTATGAGACATGTTTTAAATCTCCTGGCCTAAGTACCCTTCTTTGGGGTTGCTGTCTATAGCAGCAGTCTCATCTCATCTATCCCTAAATCTGAACCTGGTCCAAGGGGAAAATTCAGAAGGTTAGCATTAAATGGAAGTAACATTATGTATACCTAAGGGAATGTCAAATACCAAACCAAAAGACGGTAGGAGTCTATTTCTTAAAAAGATGCAACTTTCATTCCTATCTAGAGACTTAGGTTTACTGATGGCAGTCGCTGCATTTGTACATTATTCCAGTTCTTCAGTAATTCTGTTTAAACTGTGATTTTCTTTATTATGTTGGTGCAATATTTTATTATCATTTAACCTCAGGATATTCAGACCAACAGGATTGTGTTGCTGCTAAAAGTCTGAGCAGTGTTTTACTGTCCCCAACTCACTTCCTACATGGTCACATGTTCACTTGCTTTTCCTTCCATCTGTTGGTTTTGTGAGCTGAGAACATTTCTGGACACGTGGAAGGGAGCCAGGGATTCCTGTGATAGAGATTTTGGACCAGCAGAGGACTTCAGTTTTCTTCATGTCCTAAGGGTTTGATCTAGAAACCCTGGTGCTTCCCCTGCGGAATACTGTACTTCATTCAACAGAATGATTGATTTTTCTTTCAATCAACATGTTCGCCAAAAATAGAGAAGTTTTTCTAAGGTTAAATTTTGTATTTAAGTTCGGCCATTGGATCAGGGAATTTTCTACAAATATTAGGTAAATGTATGCTTTTCACCCTCTGGGCATACCTCTCTTCTCTGTAATCGTGGAAGCATCATCATGCATAGTTCTTTCATTGTAAGCCACGGTTTAAAATCATAGTGCAAAACGGTTAGACCAGTAATTGTGCTACTGAAATTGTAACAAAAAATGTTATTCCTTGATTTGGTTTTTAAATTTTGCTTTGTCTTATGTGTCTCTTTAAGTAGATATGTGTATTTAAGTGTTGTCTAAACAGTTTTATTTTTACTTTAGAAAAGATCATCTTCAACTGTTTATTGACTTCTAAATTGTAGTTCATGCCTTGTCGAGGCATTGTTTGACTCCATGATACTAAAACATAATGAAAGAAACAAACCCATTATGGAGAGAGAGAAAGTTTAATTATTTGGCTCCATATAGAAAAGCAGCTACTTAATGGAATCCTTCACTAGGATTGTTCTGTCACCTTTTTTAGTTAAACCATGAAATGTCCCTGTAAACTGAAGTTAAACTAACTTTGTAGGACTTAACAGAATAGCTAAATGGTGTGACTTGCCTTATTGAACTGATACTGGCATACCTGACCTTAAGCATTAGGTTAAAGATACCATTTTATGAATATGAAAAATTCTACATCAAAACAGAAAATATCTGGGAATGAAGATTACAAATTTAGCTGCTGTTATTTGCCTGTTTATTCCCTTCTTGCTCTTGTTTAGTTTACAAAAACAAAAATGTGGCCTTGGAATTTTCATTTTAATGCAGAAATTTTGAAATTGAAAATGTGCATTTTTTGGTGCACAAAATCCTTCTGTGGGCAAAACTTTTTATGTCTTTGTTTTGCACAATAGGAAAAATAGGCAGGAGTTATGTTTTTGATAAGTTAACTACAAAAGCTTTTTTATTTTTATTATTAAAAATGTAACAATTTAACCCACAGGAAAAAAAAAATAGATTGTATTTTGTACACTTGTTTGAACCCCGTGGGTTCCTTTTATTAATAAAATTATTACACTAATGCTATGCGTTGCTAGTTTTTTTTTTTTTTTTTTTCAAATTTAAATTATTACAAGACCTGAGGGAACTCAGTACCAAAAAAGGCAAATGTTGCTGCAGTTAAAATCCTTTTCTCTAGACATGTTACCATGAGGGAGGAACAGCCCTAGAACCTGAGTTTTTTTATAGTGGGCCCAGTTTCCCAAGGTAGTCTGAATTTAGCCTTCCATGATGAAAAGTAGTTGGGATGATTAAGGAAACTAAAGCTATATTGATTAAAAAAGCATATCACTATGTATTCCCAAATTATAAGAGTTACTCTTTAAAGCCTCCTGAGTTTGAATGTTTGATTGTCCAGAATCTGCACAGGATCAATTTAGCCATGTTATATGTAACTTTTCAGTGCCACAAAAGAAGTAGCACTTGAATATAAATTTTCTCAGCAAGGCAATTTACTTCTATAGAAGGATGTGTCTCACAGATGGAACAATGGTGACCACACACCTGGACAAGGGAGGGGAAGGAGTTATTCCTACCGGCTATGCCAGTAGCCCCTACTGATGTGTCATCCTATTGGCTAGGCTTAGACCACACAGTTTAAGCTAATTCCAATTGGCTATTTTTAAAAGAGCAGGGGTATGAACCAGAGTGACGAGCTGGGTAGTTTTGTGGGAAGGATGGTTACAGAACAGGTCAAAGCAGGTGACTAGGAGTGACTTAGGTAACTACCAATTAGAACTGGCAGGAAATACACAAGGGCATGCAGAGAACCAGGAAGTTAAACTTTTAAATGGAGAATTAAATAAGAGAGCTGAACAAAACTGACATACTGATTCTTTGAAGAGAAACTTGGGAGTTCACTATATCTAACATAAGGTCTCATGGACACTTAGGAGATCCTTCCTAGGACACACTGACCCAGGTAAGCCACCCCTTTCTACACAAACACTCCAGTAGATATGAGCACTGTATTTTATACAAGGAAGATGTAATGGTATGTCATTTCAAGAAAACTGCCCAGACCCTCTGTCTTGGAAAATTACCTCCTGAACTAAGGAGTAAGAATGAACCCAGTTGGTTTGCTCTCCAGTTATTTTAATAGATGGTATTACATAATAAATAGGTTCTTTCTGTATCCACATTTATAATCAACGTAAGTTGAAATATTTGTCTCATGCGATACTGAGGCAAAATTTATGATTACCATTACAACTCTGTAGTTTATGTGTATTATGAAATTTAGAACTAGGCAAGACACTGCAAAGAAACTAGAAAAAAGGCCCTCCCATTTCAAATGAGGATACCAAAACCAAGAGAGTTGTAACCTGAGAGTGTGGTCGCTGCTTGCTCTGAAATTTCCTGATTCTACAACCTATATAAAAGTGATAGGAACAATTATTGCTTTCAGTTACACAGCCTTTAAGAGTTACAGACCTGGATACTAAGCATATGCTAAATCAAGAGTCTTCAGTGATTACATTTAAGAGCTCTGCCTCCTGAAAGGAAGCCAGTTATTAACTAAATTGCTTCCAAGTGTGTTTAGTTGCCAGAATCTTTTCTTCAACAGAGATTTATGTTTCTACCTTTATATTATAAAATAATTAAAGACTCACAAGAAGTTGCAATAAGAGTTCAAGGAAGTCCCATGTATACCCATCATCCAGTCTCCCACAATGATAACTATAGTACATTAGCAAAACCAGGACATTGAGAATATGATGAACTAGAGATTAGACCTTACTTGGATTTTGCCAGCCTTTGCATGCAATCATTTTTCTTCTGTATGTCGTTGTGTATAGCTCTATGACATTCTACCTCCTGTAGAAATGCATATCGTCACCAGCACCATTAAGACACAGAACTGCTCCATCACCACAAAGAAAATCCCTTGGTTCATCCCTTTGTACTCACCCCCTCCCTCTCTCCATTTCCTTCCCTCGCCCCGGCCTTCCCATCCGTTTTTCATCTTGGCAATTTTGTCATTTCGAGAATACTGGATAAATGGAATCATTCAGTATGTACCTCTTGAGGCTGGCAGCTTTTTACTCAGCAGAACATCTCTTAAGACACATGCAAATTGCCCTGTGCATCAATAGTTTGTTTCTTTGTATTTTAATGGAGACATTTTAAAAGAAACAGAATTGACTACTTCTGAAATTTTCATTTTGCACTTCGCAAAGAAAATGTGTAATATTGATAAGCACATGATACCCTTGTACATATTTTGAGTTTGAGAACTCTTTATATAGAAAATATGTAAATGCAGATTTATACAAATTTTTAGGGCTAATGTTTAACTTGTCAAATACTCAAAGTATTTTGCCTTTAAATAGAAAGATTACATTATAAATGAACCAGAGAGACTTGTAATGAAATTATACAACAATGAGAAACTATAGTGGGCTATTTATCATATCTGCTTCTGAGTCTGATAAATTTTAACATAAATTATCCAGGAAAGAGACTACATTTGCCTTGTGTGTTTGTGTATTAAATTTTATGGATTTTTTTTCTTTTCTGTTTCTTCTTTAATTCCTTCTTTCACACTCCCACTTCTTAATATCTGATGAAATGGAAAGACCACTCAGAAGCTGAGAAAAGTTTTTAACTACAATATATTTGCTTATTCCTAAAAAAACATGGACTTATTTGCTAAGACTATTATTTTTTTCTAGAAAGGAGAACTCCCACTTTATAGAAGCCATTACACACTAATGTTCCCCAAAAATCAGACTTGAATCTGTTGGTGAAGAGAAGCAGCAGCAAAATAGAAAGACTGTGACCAGGTGGAAGTGGATAGAAAGGGTTGACTAGTGTCAACTCCCAGAATGTCACTGTAACTGAATTCACCATGAACTGTCTCTTTTGTAGAACTTTCTGTGTTCACTGAAGATTGTATCATCCCTGACAAATATTCACAGAACCAAGATGTCTTCCTGAACAGGAAGAGATATGCTTTAGGCAGTTTCTCCCACTGGAAACAAGGCAAGCATAGGTGCTTTCCTCATATGTGCAAACACTTGCCACATACATGCAAACACATGCATATGCATGTACAAATATTGCTATTCCTTCCTCTCTACTCCCTTCCAGAGCTGGGTCTATTTCAGGTAAGAATTTAAGCTCTGTTACAAAAGGAAGAAACAGATCATAGGTTTTGACTTCCACAGGAATTTGCTGAAAGAGAAGCCTTTTGCCCCCAGCTTCTCACTAGTTTGCCCCCAAACAGTATGAGATTAGTAGAAAGGTATGAGGGAATTGTTACTAAATGAGAAAACGGGGGGCAATAGATGCCTTAGCTTTATTTTTTTCTTTTTTAAAAAAGTCACTGCATGGTATAATAGTCATTTCTCCATGCTGCCCCAACCCCATGGATCCTTATGTTGATGACTAAAGGACATAAACTGTTCCAGACCAAAATAATAATGATAACATTATTTACAGCTCACACATCTAGTATTTACCATATTCTTTACAAGTATGCAGTCACTTTCCCATAACATGAAGGTTTCCGTGGTATTTTTTTTTATTTTGCTTTTTGAATTTTAGATGACAGAATCCATCTGATTGTCCACATGACAAGTGTTCTATATGTGATCGCTTATTCGTGTTTGCCACCACTACAAATATTTGGGCTCGCCTGTACTGGCTGATTGAGTTGATTCAGTAACATCTAAAGATTTATTGTCTACAGTTAATTAGCTTCTTTCAAAACACAGCACACGCACACACAGACACGCAAGGCATGCAGGCATGTGCACGTGAACATACACTCACACACAGATACTCTGTTTATTGGCTGGAGATTTCGCCCCATGGGCAAGAAAACTCATTAAAAATTTCACTGTTTATATACCTGGGAATCAAGAGAGGGCACATTATCAACATTGATTCATCTCACTACAAGAAGGATACACAGCACTAGCCTAATTTTTAGTAGTTGCTGTATTGATGGGCAGTAAACACATAAGGAATAAGAAGGAGTCCAGCAAAACAATTCCATGTTTCATACACCTTCTAAATCACTACAGCACACGAAGCCTGATTCAAAACTCTACTATTAAACTAGAATAGTCCAAGGTATAAGATGGATCTAGGATCACATGTGAGCACATCTGAGAAACTGCACTGAGGGTTCACTATATCTGAGTTTTGCTACAGATCTGTTCTAATACTTCCAAGAAAGCTGAGGTTATGGAAAACCAACTTAGGAACCTAAACACTTTCCTAACTTCTTTCTCTTGCTTATATTAAAATGAAGAAGTATGTGTAAGTATGCATACAGATGAGAGGAGTGTGATAATGAGCTTAATCTCTAGTTTCCTTTATCTTCCTTATTGAAGTGGCATCGTTCATCTGGGATAATACCTGAGGTCCGTCACCTCACAGCAAAGATAACAAGGATGCAGACACACAAGGAGTGAGGTTAAGAGCAGAGGTTTAATAGGTGAAAGAAAGAGAAAAGCTTTCTCTCCGGTAGAGACAGAGAAGCTCCAGACTAGGTCTTCTGGTTCCATGGTGAAATGCACAGGATTTTATACATGAGCTTCAGGAGGTGGTGTCTGATTTACATAGGGGACAAGAGATTGGTCAGACCAGGTGTGCCATTTGCATAAGAAGCTGGCCTGCCCACCATAATATTTTATTATGCAGATGGGCTCTCTACCTGGACGGCACCATGTTGCCAGCTTTACTGTACACGTGGTTGACAAAGAAAAGGGAAGATGGAGCTGCCATGTTGAACATGCCTGGCCTCCAGGTAGCCTTTTCCTATTGGCACAACTGCCACCCTTTACCCATACAAGCTTCCAGCTTGCTTTTCTGTCAGTAGCTTGATTTTTCAGGCTACTCTTTGTTAGAGAAGAAATTATTTAGGGGCTGCTTTTTATTAAAAGGGGAACCTTGTCGAGGGCTCTCTTAATTTCACTTACTGCCTAAATAATTTCTTTCTAGCTCCTGTATCATTAGGAGAGTACAAAGCCAAAGATTCCTGGTAAATCTCTTAAGAGAACCTCCATGTAAAGAGG